GAGTTGAGACCGAACCTCTGAAACTTTGGCTAAAAGATCAAGAGATTTTGCATAAAACCAAGCATCAGATTCAACCATAATTTTGACCACCGATTCATAGGCCAAATAGAGTTTCCCTTCAAAGAGAAACTTGTTCCTATTTTTCTATATGAACCAAAGGACGATATTTTCCTTTCAAATTTTCATTTAATTTCTTTTATAAGTATTGTTGTTTTTAAGGGGGAAAAAAAAACTTTTTGGAGCATGAGTAGAGAGGTATGAGCTGAAAACGAGAAGTTGGTCCAGTCCATTGTATTTGATCAGTCCAATTTTTAAGCCCATCTAAGATGGGAAAGAAAAAGTCGGCCCACGTACGTCTATTGTGCTCAGTTGTTGATTTTTCTTTTGTAGAAATGGCCAAATTCCGTACTAATCGTTAAATTTATTTCCAATCCATCTTGATTTAGAAATTTCGGTGTAATTATGATAAGTTTCCGCGCCATATTTATACATTGTGAATCATATTTACTCCTTTTTCCAATTGGTTTCTGAAGAGTATACATATTACATATCTCCTCATTTATATTGTTCAGCAATTCAATACATACAAATGTGTATATAATGCTTCTCTCTCTCTCTCTAGACTATTATGTAGATGTGCGTAAAGATTTTGGTTTATCTATAAAAGAGGACAAAAGGCAAAGTATGATGATAGACCCAAAGAATCAATATCCTGTGTAACCTTTTGATCTCTCTTGCACCACAAGTAAACCTCTCATCATTTTCTCACAGCACTGAAACTTAAGCATCAAATCTTTCCCCTAGCTAATAAAGGTTCAGAATTCCATACAAAAGTTCTTTCTTTTTACCAAACACACACATATAAATCTTTATCTTTTTTCTCTATCTTCCCTAAAATTAAAAAGTGATTAGGGCAAAGTTTGGAGTTTCTTCATAGCATGGGCTACATCTCCAACAACAACCTCTCTACTACTCAGCCTCATGATCTTCTTCTCACACACTGTACCTAAACCCTTACTTCTTGATCTTTACTTGATCAATATGTGTATATATATGAACCATGGTCCCTTTTTTTTGTTAAGCATATGATATATGCATATGGTCTTTTTGGTTGTATAATAC